TGAGATACCTGGAAGGCAACCGAGAGAGGGGTTACAGTTAGGGGCGGTCAGTTCGTTCTGCCTTGGTACGCTACAATATAACGCCGAACCAATCAGATTGTTTGACGGGCAAAATTAGTCTCACATGGACCAATCATAAAAACACAATTCATGCAGTAAAACAAATGATCAATTCAAACAACACTCCAACACAGACGATTTTTTCATGAAATTCTGAAAACATTTTCGTAATTACTGATGCAAATTACCCACTATTCATGGTACCACTGACTGATGTCCACCGCAAGGCTGACCATCCCTTCCCGGATAAGTAATCTCGACGGGCGAGAAACTTTCATTTGGTGGAATAATTTTTTTCAGGAAATTCTCACCATAAATGACTTTTTAGTGAGCCTTCCAAGGCTCGTCGCAAACTATGCACTCATCAGCGAAATAAACTGATCGCCAAAATGACGCACGACGAGATTTGAATTCTCGGGCAAAATCAATACGCGCCTGCCTTTGCTGCGCGTTCAATGCTGCCGTGACGTCAGCTGAAACCTGACGCAACTTAATTTTTTTCATTCTTCTTTGCAGAAGAGTTGACTTTGATCAAAGTGGTATTTCTCGAATTCGGTGAGTCAGATGTCAAACATACATTATTATTATGAAACCTTATTTAATGCAATAACTCTGGGTTGTGAAAGAATTTCATTTGATTATCCATACGGTTACCATAATGGATTATATATTAGATAAAATAATACCTCATTAAAAATATTGTCGGGCCATGGCACACTCAAAACGATCCGTTTTTGTTTGCACAGTTCGGGGTGGTGGATATGAATCGCTACCGCCTCGGCTGTGAAAAAGCATAATCTGCCGCAATTGTTTGGTCAGATTAATTGGGGTTCTGTAAATGACCTTAAATGACCTTAAATGACCTTTCAACATCTACCGTATGCCCCGTGTTGATCAGATGTTCCACAAATGAGCTACGAATGGCCTTTGATAGTCCTTTTCTCAACCAGGCCGGGTAATGCTCTTGAATCCGTTTAGTCAGCTGCCGACTGGTACGACCGATATAGCTGGCTCCACAGGAGCAAGTGAATTGATAGACACACATGGAAATGGTGGACAGTGGCAGTTAATCCTTGAGTCTCTGAGCAATGACCGGATAGGATGAGTAGAATATTTTCAGTTCAGCCGCGTAAAAAGTAGAGTTTAATGTTCTTCAGAGTCGCCTTGCGATGAGTTCACTAATACCATCGTTGACAAAAGGTAGATTGATAAATAATCATTTCTTAGGAACGGTGTACAGTTGGTTCTTTTGTCTTATCGTTTTCTTTGATGAATTTGTCTGGGTATCCGTTCTGTCGCAAAGTGCTTTGTAGTTTATCTAATTCACTTGGCAATGTTCCGTCGGAACAAATCATTCTTGCTCGTTGGGTTAGATAACGCACTAGGTTTCGTTTCTGTTTGATCGGTACTGCACTATTGATAAGATAAATATTGGTGTAAGTATTTGTGTTCGTTGTGCTTTACCTCATTATGTACTTTTTTCAATTGATTACAATCATGATCTCACCAATCCACAATAACCATTTGCAGCAAACGACACCAAAACAGGGACTTTCAATGAACACATTTATATTTTGTATTCACCCAACGATACCCGGTATAAACATGCACACCCTGATGTTGCCAGGTGGGGTGAAAGGGATGAAGTCGTGTGTGACGTCATTGACGGAATTGCGGACTCTATAAATCGATATGTGAATAGGTACTGGTTTCCAACTTTCCAACTCTACTATCACTCAAGAAAGTATGATGTGGTGTGTCAGTAAATAGATTTGCAGTATTATGCATTTAGATGATGTAATAGTTATAACTGAAATGTCAATCAGCGAACGTTCTACATTGTGAGTATACCATAATGAGCCAGCTAAGAGAAACCTCTGAGGTGAATCTGGTCATCTTGTTTTGTCTGTATCACTAAAACGTGTCCCTGACACGTGATTATACCGCCAGAAAGTCTATCATTCACCTTCGTAAAAAAGTTTTGCAATAAAAACAGTTGATGAAAAACAGGTATTTGCTGACCGTAAGTCAAAATGTTTTCAAACATTCCTTCGTACAATTAGAGACAAGTATTTATGATTTTCAATCCAGCTTTGTGCATATTCGTCATCGTTCTCAAACGAAACGAGACAGCTAATTATGACGAACCAAGATACCCAGGATCCAGACGACACAACTTCTAGTCAGTTGAGTAATCTCGGAAACTCAGCGCCCAGTGAGGTCTGTTACGCCAAACGTTTTCATGAATGAGCAATGGCAAACTGAGTGAGCAGTTGTGTGACCTCGTACTTGTTTCGTGTTGTTGCAGAGACGAAGCGGATGATCGTTCTGACACTGAATATTGTTCCAGAAACTGTTGAAGAAATTGGCTAGCTTTGTCACTAATACAACGCGGGAGATCCCCGAGTGTGAGCGGTTTTCTTTCTGGATCTACGGATGATAAGTTGGTTCTAAAGGCAGGGGATTGGAATGCAATCGTGTGCTCGAACAGTGAGAAACTATTGAGGGGAACGCTGAAATCTAAGTCTTTGTACATGGAACAGAAGGTTGAAGACAATGTATCAACCGTAGAACCACATGTAAACTACCTAGCCAGCAATAGCAAGTGCAGAAAAAACTGAGTAAGTGAGATACGTAATTGCGATGATCCAGGCCTACGTGATGACGCCTACCCTGGGGTAAACATTAGTGGCAGACAGGCAGTGGCATTAACAATCTGACTCTCTAACGGAAGCTTCTGGAGAAGAAGTATTTGAATGTTGCCAAGGTCCGCAAGATTTCTGAGCAACATGATGACCTGATGAAAACCACTTCCAGCGACGCAGTCACATTATTTCAACGACAGAAGACAAGACCGAACCGCCCCTTAATGGCCAAATGTATACCGAAGCCGCAGCAAGACCCTTCAGGCAACGATAAACGTATCAACCCTATTCGTCATTCTGAGCTTATCACCCACGCTCCAATTGCCGCTTCCAAAATGCCAATTGTCATGCGTTCAGGAAAACTGGCCATATTCGGAGAGTGTGCAAACAGCCCCGTTGCAATCTTGCACAGCCAACGTCCGAAAATGACTCAAGCCTTGTGCCCTCTCTACTACTCGAAAATCAATGCACCCAATTCCTGTAAAAAGAAATGACACTACAGTCCGGCACAACGAACAAATTCATTGTTGACACAGGAAGCACAGAATCTATCATTTCTACTACAACACTTCGGTCAATCTGTCCCCAAGCCGAAATCCGCCCGGCATCTGTGCGAATCCTTGATGTGACTGAACACAAATTGCCATTGATGAGTGAGGTTTCGCTGATAGTACGTTCAACAGAACATCGCCTTGTTCCTATTCGCTTCCTAATTGCCAAAACCAGTTCATCCATAATTGGCCTAACCGCCATTCGTGCATTGAACCATTCTGTGTCACTCCATACAAGCTCTATGTCCATTATACCCACCCATCTACAGCACCTAATCGTGAAATGTTCCAGCAATACAGGAGGCATGAACGTGCAGTCGGCCAAATTGGAAGTTGACGGTGGACCCGTTTTTCTGGAACGACGCGTAATCTACTGTGGCCAAAGTGAACGCGTGGTGAAGGCCCTTGAGAAAATAGGCGGCAACGACATACTCACCCGAGTCATATCCAGTGCGCGGGCAACGGCAATCGTGATCGCGATCAAAAGTGACGTAAAGACACCACGAAGTTGTGGCGATGTGATAATCGGAATAGTACTGAATGTAGAAATACGGGAGCCTGTACCGTAATCCTCAGAACTGGATTGGCTCCAACCCGAACTGCGGACACCAATGGTATATATATATATATATATATATATATATATAACACCGGCTGGAGAACAAGCTTGGTGCCAACACCACAACAATATTAACAATAACAATAACCCCCCAGAGTGGGGGGTGGGATAAAGAGTATAGGGAAAAAGACGTAACTGTCAGAATGAAAGATTACGAATAAATGGAATAACAATATTTTGTGTTTCACCGTACACGTTTTGAAACTTTTTTTTTGTTTGTGGTTTTTATGGGGCACACGTTTCGACAGGCAGATCGTGCAGCATTTGTGCCACTGACTTCCATTCCGGGCCACATCT